TTCCGTTCTCGAGATAACTATTAAATCGATTTGTTTTTTTTTTGTGCTGTAAAATTTTTAAAACGTATTAATCAAGCTCAAATTTCATATCTACTAATTATTTATGTGTATTCAACAACCCTAAAAATGTGAAACAAATCAAATACATGAACTGTGAACCCGTTTTATGTTTAGCATCGCTTTCGTGGGCATTGTGCATTGGGCACCACTTCTTCGCAGTAGAGCTATCCATTTGTACTTTTTATATTGTGATGGTGTCTGACTTCTTAGCTAAAACCGGTGAATATATTCTCAGATAATCGGGTATTAATTTGTGCACTCCTTCTATTCTCGATTAGATCGCAACTAGGAGAGTTCTTAACCAGAAGTAGCTTAAATGGGTTGGAAGCAAGGAGACACCGTTAGAACTAGCGAGGTAAAGTAGCAGAATTACCGCCACTTATAGGCTTGGCAATTATCTATATAAGGGTGATTTTTTCGGCGACTTTTTCCCCCCTCCCACATTTTTTCTATAGCTCTTGTTGTTTACGAGATAGGGGCAAAAAACGAGAATTTTATGAAAAAATTGGATTTAGCGAGCCGTACTACATCACCGGTGGGTGTTAGGATTACGACGCTATGGACACTTTTTTAGAGCATAAAATATATACTTGCACGCCTTGGTCGACCACTTAATATTAATATTGAGGGCTAAAATTTTCAGGGAATTTTTTTTAGGTATTTCCCACAAATTTTCGAGGTGTGAGTAAAAAAGAAATGGTCGCCAAAAAACACCCTTATGTGTATAAAAGTAGTATAATATGAGTTGTAAATTGTGAGTCAACGAGGACTAAATAAACAAATGATGTCCAAAAAAAAAAAACCAATTCCAATGTTAAAAAATAATAATTTTTTGCTATAAAATTGTCATTCATATTTTTTTTAATTGTATAGAAATATCTATATAAAAATTAAGCATTTATATATTTTCCAATGCTTGGAAAGTTTTTTTTTGTATTTACTTAAATGTTTAAAGACCTGCATACTATGTAATTTTTAATAAAATTATTTTTTGTTTCTAATTGTGAAAACATAGGTACGCTTCCCCAAAATTTGATTTGCCATAAGGCTAAGGTTAACATTTTTGTGGATGTAAATTCTGAAAAAATGTTGGAAGCAAGCTTTTTATATTTTTTAGTTCATAAAATAGGAAATTAATGTACATGTTCATATGTAGGTAAATAGTAATGTATGCTTGACCTCATATTCCAGATTTTATTTCATTTTTTTAACTCATTCAGCAGCAGAATTATAGGCTCATTTTGGCCTATGGACGAACGTAACTACTTTAATAATATTTTGCAATATTTAATTTATTTTAAGCCAAATAAAAGTATCGAATTATTATATATTTATGCAGCATCCCCATTATAATCTTAATAAATGTGTGCCTTTTACTTCAAGTAACTGTGTACATACTCCGTTGAGAATTTAGAGAAAAAATGTTTGGAAATTATGACGTAAATATACATACATTCATATTTGGCCCACGGGACTACTTATTAGAAGAGTATTGTACGGCATTGAAGATTCGCAATCATTGACTTGCATTGAAGCGCTCCTCATATTTATTTTTGTTCAAATACAAAACAAAGGAATATGTGTACTTATCTAGATATGTATTTACATATTTTGCTTCCTTTTATATGAAACAGATACGCCTGGACCTAATTTATGGCTCACAATATTCTTTTATTTAATGTTACAAGATAAAGTACTTTTACATATTGCTACATGTAAATACAAATTTTTTTCCATCAATATGTATGCAGTAAGAGTATGTAAAATGTGTATACGTACATTAGTATAAGTAGTGTATGCACCAAATCTAAGTCAAGAAGGGAATATGTTTGAGTGTATCCAATGAAATATGTGTGGAGGCAAGATTTACATATAAAAGTACATACATCGGTACATGTATATGCATGTGAACATAATTTCCTAGTGCTGGCGCACACAGCTTTCTTACTATCATACTCATGGGTAATGGCACTAAAAGAAATTAGTACAACTTACTTGACGAGCGTGTGAGAGAGCTTATGAACGTGTTGACCGACTAAATTTGAGTTTGGGAGTGAAAGTTTGTCTTGCGAGATGAGTTAGGTGATGCAAGTACGCACAAAGGAATACTCAAATGTTGATACATATATGTAAGTTTGTGTGGCAGGGAATTTGTGCATATTTATTCCAAGGTAGAACGGTGCGTATGCGTAACATTTTGTATGTATTTATATGGTGCTCATATGGTAATCAAATGTGGGTAGCAATGCTGCACATATGTATGTATCTACAAACTGAACTTTTTTAATTTTTTGCTAGCTTATATGACCACAAAGAGCCATTCAATCTATTACGAATAAGCATAATGTACACAAAAATGGTAATTTTTTGATTAAAGTCTCTCTTCCTTAAGGCGAAATGTACATGTTTGAGGCGTTCCATAGCAAAACCCAATAATGGCATTTGAATAGCTACTGAGATACAGAGGAAAATTAAACCAATGCCTTATTCTAAAATAATATGTAATATTTGTTTTGATAATGTTACTAAATTCAAAGATTCCTTGATTGAATTAGGTGCGATTATTGGAACGCACGTCACTGTTGGCAGTTATAACTTTGAAGCAGCGAAGAAGTACAGTTTCTAAAAAAGTAGGGATGATTTTTAATTTCTTTTTCTGTAATTTTTGGAAAGTTAAGATTAAATCTAAAAATATAAAAAATGGAAATTTTAGAAATTTTTATAATTTTTTCATTTTTGGTTTGGATTTGTTTTTTGATTTTTTACAAAACCATTGCATAGTACTACTTTTTGGTTTTTAAATCCACTTTTTTTAATCATTCTACAATAAAAAAAAATATATATAAATAACAATTAGCAATTAATTTCGACGGAAGTCATAAATTCAAAATTTTATATATTTTTTTATCACTACTCGATACTGTTATGGAAAAATAAAAAAGTTTCATACCTTCATCTGAATCTGTTACTTTCCATTTTGTATATCTTTTAGCCCCACTGCTTTTTATTTAGAGAAATTTGGCGTCGAAAAATTTGTCGCAGCGATTGCCAGAATTGCACTGCTGGCATCTAAGGTTAAAAAAAGTACATACTTTAACATTAAAGTATGAAATGTGAAATAAAAAAATAAAATTTTTAATTAAAAAAAAAACAGCTTCCAGAGGCATCAATCCATCTTTGTAAGGCGCAGTAATCAAAAAAATAAAAGGAAACCGATACTTTCTGCTCAAAAAAATAAAAGGCTAATTTTAACTTTTACGTTTACCTTAAAAAAATAAAAATCAGAATTAATCGATATAAGATATTTGCTCAAGATGATAAAAGCCAGATTTTTAAAAGTCATAGAGGAATCATAATCTACAATGAGATATGAGTCTAATGGTACCTTTGAAAAGCTTAACCTCAAAAAGTTGCAACCAAAACATACGGCCAGTATATTTTTTACCCGCCCCTCATGCCTCCCCACTGATAACACTTTGCAATGTACATATATGTATATATATAATTGTGTCTACCTTGCCTATTGGAAGATGGTAATTTTAAATATATTTAGTCCGGCGTTTTTCCAATTTTTTAATACTTTGCAAATAATAGGTTTTTCGTGGTCCTCAAAATAAGCCTTTTTTCAGTGATGACCTCTTCATTTGACTTAAATTTCCCATCGCTCATTCTTTGGGTTTGGAAGTTAAAATTATTCGCTGGGGTCTAAATCTGGTGAATATGGTGGAGGGAGCAGGAGCTCGAAGCTCGATTGATGGATTTTTTCATGTGTACCGTGTCTTGTCTTGCCTTGTCTTGATGGAACAGCAACTTCTTCTTATCCAAATGTGATGGTTCTTTGATTCCATCCAATACTGAAATTGTCCAAAATCTCCAAATAACATTCGCCAGTGATCAATTGCCGTTGTTAAAGTAATTGATGTGAATGGCACCAAGTGCATGCCAAAAAACTGTGATCATGACCTTACTGGCCGACAGACCAGCTTTGGCCTCCTTTGTTGCACTTATTGATTGCTTTTTTGGTCTCTGATGTATTGTGTTTGATCCACGTTTCATCAACGGTTACGATACGGAGCAAAAACCCTTTCGGCTTGTTGCTGAACATCGCCAAACCTTCCTTTGAAGTGATCATACGGTTGCTTTTATGGTCGAGTTTGATCAAGCGTGGCAGCCATCGCGAAGATAGCTTTTAATATCCCAATATTGATATAAAATGTGATATACCGGCTCAGTTGAGATGCTAATATACCCAGCCAGCTCACACACTTGCATTCTCCGATCGCCCAATATCATTTCTCTTTTGTGCGACCTGGACGTTCGAGGTCATTTGTGCTGGTAAAACCACAACGGAACTCACTAAATCACTTCTTAAATATTAAACTTAATGGTGCGGAATCCCCATAGTACTTTACTCAAAAAAATTATACTTAATCAGACCACCAAATTAGCCCTTTCTATTTTCGTTAAAATTCACGAGGTTGTTTGCCTGCAATGGCTATCAAATACAAACTAAACGACGCTGTTTGTTCAAAATTTTTACAGTAGTCCATAAATCGATGGCAGTTCAAGGCAACTATATTGGATTTAAAGTTAAAGCTCCGGAAATTCAAAGTCACTGACATGTATGAATGAACATTGCTGAATCAAAAAGGTCAAATATTGATGCTTAAATTAAATTTTATAAGAGTTTCATCCTTTCGCAACTCGACGGCTTGGCATTTTGGTCATTTATATGCAGGACAGTAATGTTATTGTCACGCATGCGTAAATATGCTTGCCTGTTAATGCATTTTACATAATTACTCACGCAACTAAAAAGTTTTCGCATGGTCCAACGTAGCGTAGCGCACTGAAACCCCGCAACGCCAATCACCCAAGGTGTTAATGCTGGTTGCATCCGCACCGCACCGCACTGAGTTAATTGAATTTTTTATTGATTTTATACTTTTTATTAATTACCATTAAAAACTTACGCATACAAAAGTATTTATGTTCATATTATTAACAAACTGACAATTCCATAAGATATACATAAATGCAAGCCAACATGCCGATGAAATTAAATTACATTTATACCATATGTATGTATGTATACATAAAAACAAATGCTCAGAGCACTTGCTGCCAAGCTTCAGCGCAGCATACCGTAAGCATATTGACTGACTTTTGGGCCCACCTTTAGCAATATTGCACAACAGTTACGGCCGCAACGACTGCTCAATCCAATCCACGTAATCAGCAACACGCGTATATACCGCCGGCCATCCCTCCAGACCGCAACGATTGCCAAAAGACACAACACCCTCCAGGTACCAACGGTTGTTGGTACTTTGGCGCATCAATGGGCCACCAGAGTCGCCATCGCAGCTATCCTTGGAAAACTCACCGCCAGCGCAGAGCTGCGACGTAATCAGATTGACATTTCTTGATGAAAATTTACGTGCGCATGCATCATGTTCCACAACTGGCACTGCCAATTCTTGCTTCACATTGCTCTGACGTGCTGTATGTAATAGCCAAGCGGGCAATCAGCATACATTTAAGGTCCAGCGAAGGGAATGCAATGCATACAAGCGAATGCCAGATGACCAGAAGAAAAAGAAGAGAAGAGCGCAAATAAACATTATAAAAGATGGTACATTGAACAATGACAATACGCATAAATGCAATAAAAATAAAAATAAAAAAGTAAAATACTACATAAAATGGGCTGAATCAATATTGGTGTAGCGCGGGCGGCACGTCGATCTCCCTTGGTAACGTACCATAACGCACGCGTACGCCTCTATTCAATTCAATTCTTCTGTCCACCTCTACCTACATACATACATACATACTTGCCGTATCAACCCACTTACTTTACTTACGTACTTACACGATGGCTTACATATTCACATGATTTACTGCGAAACTTACCGAGTAATGTGCGCCCCCAGCCGGCTACTGTAAGCAATTCGCCCACATTGATGGCCTGACGTGTGCTGGCCAACGGCAAGCAAACTGGCCTAATGAAATCCGAATATGTCACGTCCTCTGCCAGTCGTATGAGCGCAATATCATGATGACGGTTATTGTTGTTGGGCTGGTATTGTGGATGTGGGATCACCTGTTCGTAGCCCAATTTTACGACTTTGTTGTTGCAATCTTGTTGTATACAATCGATTTCTTTGGCGATATCATACTCGCCCAGATGTATGGTAGAGCTGCAAATGGTGCGGATTGTGAATAGCGAATTTTCCGGTTTGACATCGGTAACAGATGACGACGGTAGGTAGATGTTGGTGGTTTGTGGGTTTTGCGGATTCACAGGTTCGCAGAAAGGACGATGGTAAAATTTAAATTGATCGCAAATTTGTTCAATCGTATATTAAAAGGAAAGAGAAAAAACAAAAAAAAAAAAACAAAAAACGATATAATAAATGAAGTAAAATTTAAATGATGTACGGGTATAATGTGGAGCGGAAAAGCAAGGAAAATGATGTGTAAACGTAGTGTAAATGTCCCAGATAAAATGAGGCTGGTACGACAAGACAATGATGCTCACTGCCCATTTTTTAAATGAACGGGTAAAAGAGAAATTGATGAAAAAGTGTTTTTTTTTACAACATTTACCGTTTGTCATGAAGGTTTATTAAAAAAAGTATAACGCTTGTTTGTAAGTTCAGGATATTTACAACAATCAGCAAAAAAAAACTATACTGAAGAAATTTAAATTTCAGTTTCCGAGCCCGCTAAAGTATAATCTATACATTACATTAAAGAAATTAAGGAAAAATTTATATGCGGGTCTTTCTTAGAGCAACAAAGACCATTGAATAAGTTTTAGAATTTTTCAATGTCTGTATGTTTATACGCGCATCACTCAAAGGCCAATTGCACGAAATTTAATGTAGTTTTCACCGATGTATTGCTAGAGGTCTAACTTAAAATATAAAAAAAATAGAGAGTTGCCACCTGCTCGAAAATTGCAGTTTAATTAAATTGATAAGATAAAGTAAATTTTGCAATATGGCTGTCAAAAGAATCAGGTTTAAGAAGGCGTGCGGACCAAAAAAAATATTTGTGGTGGTTGCCACATGTTTAAAATGTTTAATGTAATTAAATTTATAAGCTAAATTAAATATTGCATTATGGGCGTCAAACTGAAAAAGTTTAGGAAATCTTAATTCCGAAAATATATTTTAAAAGGGTTGCCACCAATTTGAAAAATTGTATTTAATAAATTGATAAAATAAATGAAATATTAAAATGCGGTTGTCAAACAAAACAAAAATACTTTTAAGGCGCAATGAAACACGCCGGATATATGCTAGTTTTTAATGAAAATATAGCTCACACATACTACAACAAAACCCATAAAACTCAAGGTATCTAACTTTGCAATAATAAAAATAATCTTAAATGTTTCATCAAATTTCACACTTTTTACTTGCAATTGGGTACGCAGTTTTATAGTCCATTCAATTTTATTATAATAAATTGCAAGTGTAAAGTCACTGCAAAATTCCGTTAATTTTTGGTAATTTTTTCGAAGGAGTTGCGCAGCACCGTCAACAAAAAAAAAAATTGCCAAAAATTAAGGGTTCTTTTTTACGGCTTCATACTTTCACTTTATTATATTAAAATTGAATTGACTATAAAACTGCATACCCAAAAGTGTGAAATTTTGATGAAAATTTGACGTTTTTTTTAATTGTTAGAAACTTTGAGTTTTATAGATTTTGTTGTATTATGAACTACATTTTTATCAAAAATTAATAAAATTTAAATAAAACGAAATACTTTCAAAATACGGAAACAAATTTACTACAAGACTTTGACACTCACTGTTCATATGGCATACCCACTTCAGCATACAGAACTCGAAACTAATTTCGTCGATATTTTTCACAAATCAAGTGGTAAGCGGTAGCTCAATTAATGCAAATAGATGTTATACCTGTTTACAACCTAATAAATAAATTTAATAGTATAATAATTTTAGTATAATAATGTGCAAATTTCAAGTGGATAAGAAATCGCGTTGGTTTCCAATATTTTTTTTTGCTGGCGGTGCCAGAAATTTTTTTTCCACACGTGTAAAATCTGCTCGAAATGTCAGGAAAAACTTATCAAAAATCAACGCAATTTCTTAACCACTTGAAACCGCACTTTATTATACAAAAATTTTATATGTTTATTCAACTGTTTACCAAGATTTTTTTTTAATTGCTACTTTCTCTGAAATTTGCCTTAAAAAGATTAATGTAACCAAGTAAGAAGCCAGAACAATCTAAAATCGGTTAAGAATTAGAGCCTCTACGCTATTTTGAATCCCACTGTCCTATTTCAGACCACTGTGCGTCAGTATTCCTTGTGATATCTATTCTTCAGATCTTTTCATTTTCGTGAATGTATGTACATTCATATAATAGGTTGGCATTTTTAGTTTGACGAAAATTCGCATGACAATTACCTACTTTAACTTTTTTCCACGTTTATTATTATTTATCATGTATGTATATGTAAATGAGAGTATACTATATACATATATGCATATGTACATCTTTTTGTTGGTAGTGTCATAACTTTCCACATGACTAAAATTTATCATATAATTAAGCCTAATATAAGTCACTAATTACTATATATACCGCTATTCTTTCATTTACTAAACACTGTCATATTTTACTGAAAAGAAACTTTCACTTTTATAACAAAAAGTATCAAATGCGCGTGGTTTTTCAGACAAATTGTTATTAAACAAATTATCAAATACATTTTTGATAAATTGAGTTTTCGGAAATCTATTAAAATTGCAGCAAATTACTCACTACCATAATCAACACAAATTAAATTCCTCTTTTAATTGCATTCATTAAACTAAAACACCATAAAAACCATATGAATGCGCTTATTGCTAAGCATTCATTAGATTCTACCACTGTGGCCGCCCAAAATTCCATTTAACTAGTTTTAAACCATTTAGCAAATCAGAAATATTTATGTATTTATAATTTGCTGCAAAATGTATTTATGTTTAAGCTGTTAAATATGATTTCAGCAAAAGTAGTTTAATGACACTATACTTTAGTCAACTCTGTATGTACAAATATGTATGTAATTATAAACATTCTCGGTATGGCTTTGGTCGGAAAATTCATATACCCGAACATTTATACATATGTATATACAAATGTACATGAGTGAATTAAAGTATGCATATGTTGCATATATTTATTTTGGCTTTTAAATGGCAAAAGTTTCAAGATTGAGGAACCGCGTACAAATTGCTTGTGTTCGATAAAGCGATAAAGTATGGATCACTTTCGCAGTATATTCAAATGAAGTGGCCTATAAGTTTGTAAGTAGGTACGTTTTTATCAGCATAGTGGTAAAAATACTTTCCGAGTTATGGCATTAGGAAAGAGAGCACGCTATTAGGAAAACTGCAAGTTTCCGGATTTTATCTTGTATTTTTTTTTAGATTTGGTGTCGAGTAACAAATTTATATATGAAAACAGCTGGTAAGCAACTTAAAGTTATAAGCGAACTTATGCAAAACACTTCTAAATAGATTTGGACGAAAGGTAGCGGATTAAACGACAATCCTGCTTAGACGGTCATAATTCTCTGCACGAATTACAAAAAAATTTTCCAATTCCTGATAAATCCAAAATTAGAGAAAACTTGGAAGTGTACAAAGGGCATCATATATGTTCTTCGTGAAAGCGCCGCCCCAATTAAGGGAAATGGTGTTCACTATCACTTAAATTGTGCATTTGATTGCCATATTACTGGAGTGCGTTTCAGGATGAGTTAACTGCATTTTAGAATATTTTTATAAACACTATATCGACTGTCTTTCATACTTAAGCTCGTAAATAGTTTGTCGTATATAAAGCTTTATAAATAAAATTAATTGGTTACATTTCTAGGGGCGTGGTCAACATCTAACCGAAAGAATATCACAACGGTACCTTCGCGCACTTGTGTGCGAAGACATCCACTCTAAATTTAACGAACTTATCTTTACCTACTGTTGACTACAACTCTTAACTATACTCAATATCACCCGATCTATGACAACACACACAGCGGATTCGCACTATTCACGATTGGAAATCTTAAAATGTCCATGCATTGTTTTCCAATCTTAAATGGATCTTCCACTTTGTTACAAATTGTCTCAATGGGCTGAAATTGCATTGTTTGATCACAAAATTCAACTATATTTAACAAGCTCTAATTTTTAATATTTTTAAGATTCTCCTAAATGAGAAAATCTCACGAGTTGTTAGAGTTTTCGAGAAAAACGTATCTTTTGTCGTAAATGGTGATACTACTATCTTAGAAAATGCATTATATTCAGTTTTGTATAAGGAACAGGATTCCATCGAAAAATTTTATTTAAATGAAAACTTAAAAAAGGTATACTAAAAAAAAATTAAAACTACTCACACATACTCATATAACCATAGTTGCGTATAAGAGGGTTGCCACCTGTTTGAAAAGGTGAACTTATATATCCTGTTCAGTGAAACATTAAAATATTAGTGTCAAACGAAAGAGTAAGCATGTTGCCACCTGTGTGAAAATTTCAGTTTAAGTGAATTGATAAGGTAGAGCAAATATTGTCATATGGCTCTCAAAAGAAAGAGGTTTTAGAAGGAAACTATTTTTGTGGAAGGTTGCCACCTGTTTGAAATTTTTTTTTTAATTTAACTAATTAGATAAATTAAATATTGCAATTCGGGTGTCAAACTAAAGAGGTTTGTGAAAGTTTACTGCCAAACAATTTTTGAGGAGGGTTGCCACCTATTCAAAAATTAATATTTATCTAACTATGTACATTTCAAAAACGAGTTGTCTAATTAAATAACTGACGGTGATTTGAAATTTGATCAAATGAAAAACCGATATTATGCGGGACGTCTCTTCATTCAAAACAGCTGGGCGGATTTAGGTGAAACACTTAGAATATTTAATAAAGTTTTTGAATAGGGTTGCCATCTGTTTAAAAAATTAAATGAAATGTTGGCGTTTTAACGCTATGTGGGTTCACTAGTTTTTTATAATTTAATTGTTAATTTAAATTTAATTTTATATTGTTAACTAAACGGGTTTCAGCGGTAAACGACATACTATGTAACTGTACGTTACATTTGGGGTTATAAACAAATGAGAGTATCGTTGAACTAAACAAGAAGGTTCATTTATTACAATTTTAAAATTTTATGAAGAACATACAAAAATTTCGAAAAATATGTATATAAAAATAAAAAAACTAGATAAAAATAATACAAAAACTCGAAAAACTTGCATTTTATTTCATTTAATAGCCCTACGAAATGGTTCCTGGCTAGCTTATTCACTCATCGG